TCTTCAAAAGAGATTTATTTATTTATTTTTTATCCATCATTAATTATTATTGTTTTAGTTTTATATTATTTTTTTTATTGACTTAAACGTAATTGGATGTTGACACTAACTTTTTTTTCTCTTTTCATTATAACACATGTTCTAATTTTTTTTTATCGTCAGATACTACTTTGTACATTATAGTTGGACAAGAAACATATTTATTTTTTGAAAGTAAGCTCATTTTTATTTACCAATTTCGTTGTTTTTTATAGTTTTTTTTTTTAGTTTTTGAAGTTGTGAACTTCGATTTTCTCAATTAGCTCACATGAATGATTTATATTGATGTTTTTGTGGATATTGGACTTAGAAGTTTCAAGGTGTTTTAACCCTTGGAGTTTTAATTGATTGTACTATTAATGAATTTAAGGCAAATTTCTAGCAAATGATTTTATCTACTTTTAATATCTACTCTTAATATAGAGTTGAATTAGTGTTTTAGTATGTGACATGATATTTTTCTATTAAGATTTTGAAGTGAAAACAATTTAGCTATGAAATTAGTAAAATTACGAATGGGTTAATGTAAAATTTTTAGTATAATTTAAAAAATAAATAAATTATCATAAAATATTTCATGTAATGTTATTTTTTTTATAAATATTAAAGACTCTAAGCAAAGTTGATAACTTGCATTACGAATTTTTATTCAAAAACAAATCTAAAAGGCATAAATAGTTTTCCTTCTGATCCCTGCTTTTGGTAATTATATTTTTTTTTTTTGTATTTTCGTATAGAAACTATTGGTAGATTATAGATTACTTATGTTTGAAGTTATTACTTATTTTGTGTATTGCGAAAGTGACAAACCAACATATCAAATTAATAATTATCAATGTTACTAACTGCTTCTATTATTAAAAATATTGTTTAAGCTTGATTCTAATTAATTATAGTTGTATTTTTTAAAATGGTCACAAATTTTAAATGTTGGTTCGTACTTCTTTTTTTCACCACAGGTCTTAATTAAAAAATACAATCTTCATTAAACTATTATAATATATAACAGATTTGACAATATATTTATTGTGGATATTATTATTTGAATCAAGCTTAAATTAAGGCAAATAAAAAAAATTTACAATAATACTTTTCTTAATTTGTTTAGATTTTCGTATTGTTGAGATGTTTCTCAATATAAACTGAAATTAGATGATGATACTTTTATTTTTTATTTTTACAGTTGAAAGCTAATAGCTCAAACTAAAAACTTAAATAAGGTGAATATGAAAGAGAACACATATTTCTTTTTCTGATTGATTTTACTTATTATTTTCAATTTTATATTGTATTATTTTAATTTTTCTACATGAATTCATCACAAGTTCAATAAAAAAATGTATGAACATTTTTCTTAGTTTGTTTTATTTTTATGATATTTAAATATTTTAATATGATGTAAATACTCTTAAGGAAATATTTATTTTAACTAGCTGCTGGTGTTATTTGATTCCAACATGAATAAAGTTCATTAGATTTTATTTTTACATTGTTTTTTTTGCTACTTTGAATATTTCAATTATATTATAACTTAAAATCCTCATTGCCACGCATTCAAAAATATTTTATTTTATTTCAATTTAAATAAGGTAGAAGATCAATAATATGTAATTAATAAATGATAAAAGCAAGGTCTTCGTTTCAATATTGTTAATTAAAAAAAAAAGGTTATATTATTTAGTGTTTTCTCTCTCAATATTAACTATTTTATATTATTTTTATTAATATGTTATTCGACATGCTCAATTAAATTTAAAAATACGTTTATTGTTTAAATTAGTTTATCTCAATTTTCTTAGCAGTAGTGGTGGTATTCTTGATAAATTTAAATATTTTCGATACAGTATTCTACTAAATTTTTGTAGGCCAGAGAGTAGTAGAAAATTTATATGCTTCAATTGGGTGACATAATTGTTATGATTATTAAAACAAAATACATGTGTATTTTATATGATGTTGTTAGTAAAAAAGTAAAGTATCAAAGTAAAAGTTATTTTTAGCACAACAATTTAAATGTAACACAAGATATCAATTTAAGGCAAGCTTATTAAACTCAATAATTAACTCGTTGGAGTTTATGTTTTTGAACTTTTTCGAGTTAACTTGAAAATAAATTCATTTGCTGAGTAAATTTGGTATAATCATAACTAAAATTGATGGATCATTTAGAATAACAATTTTGCAACGGTTTTGTGAGTTTGAAAGGAGAAAAACAATAAAAGATTATGTCGTTTTGAGTTTAAGGTTTAATGTCTTGGTTAGGGCTCCATCATTGTTCTTCGTTTTTATTGTGCTCCACTTCACCATTGTCTCTCACTATCGTGCGTCAAAGTAAAGCCTGAGTCATCTTTTGCTACTGTTTTTTTAGTGAAAAAACTTCAAGCATCATGTCTGGAAATGCATCAAATTCAATGGATATTAATCTAAGTGCATCTTCGTCTATTAAAATTAGAAGTAAAAGTACTATAGGAAATCAGTTTGATATTGGATGAAAAAATGGGTTTGATATTAATGGTAATGGAAAAAAAAGTTAAATGTAAGTATTACTCAAAGATTATGAGTGGAGTGATATTTAGATTTAAGCATCATCTTTCTAGAACCAGGGATGATTTTGAACCTTATGCTTCTATTTTAGATGAAATAAAAAAAAACATAAAAATAGTTGCAAAAGCTAAAGATGCTTCATTTTAGAAAAGAAAGTTAAATGTCATTAATGGATAAAGGAGGATCCAAGGTATTTAGTTTTAAAGAAAAACAAAAAGTTCCTAGAACTAGCAAGGGGAAGTCCAAGCAACCATAAATCAAATGATGGAAAATGATACAAAAAAGAAGTTAATGCTAAAGTCGCTCAACCCTTTTACACCAGTGTCATTCCTTTTAATGTAATTAGAAATCCAACATTTGCAAAGATGTGTGAAATGATTGGTAAATATGAAGTTGACTACAAACCACCGTCTTATCACGATATTATAGATAAGCTCTTGAAATAAGCTATGAACAAAACATATACAATCCTTGAGGAATATAAGGAGGAGTGGAAGAGAATTAGACGTATCATTAACTCTAATGGTTGGACAAATTAAAAAAAGACATTCTATTTGCAACTTCTTGATGAATAGTCATAAAGAGACAATTTTTCTTCATTCACTTAACACCTCAGACATTTAAAAAATAATTGATAAAGTATTCAGAATGTTAGAGTTTGTTGGAGAAAAAAATGTTGTCTAAGTTGTCACTGATAACGCTGCAAATTTCAAGGCAGTTGAAGAGTTGTTGATGCAAAAAAAGAAAATTTGTTTTGGACTTCATGTGCACTACACTACATTGATTTAATCTTTGAAGATTTTGAAAAAAAAAAATAAAGGTACATGAATTATGAATTGACAATTAAAAATGGAAGAAAGATTACCACTACGATTTATGGAAGATCAATGTTGATTTTCTTGCTGAAAAAGTTCACTAAAGGTAGAAACTTGATGAGACCTAGTGCTACTAGATTTGCCACAACTTATTTAACTTTTACTTGTCTTCGTGAGTTAAAGGCGTCATTGTTAACCATATTTAGCTCTAAGGAGAGGAAGACAAGCAAGTTTGGAATTTCACAAGAGGGGAGAAAAGTATAACATGTGGTATTAGATAGCTAATTTTGGAAGAATCACTATGTCAAAAAAGGGTTTTTATACCTATTAAAAAATGTTTTTTCTACCCTTTTTAGCAGGTATAGAAAGTTTCGCTTTTTACACCGGTTCTAAAACCGGTGTAAAATGTGTACAACTTTTACATCGTTTCTGTCTACAACAGGTATAAAAGTTTTATATTTATGCCTGATATTCTTAAGACAGGTATAAAAAGTCTCATTAGTTGCTAGGTTAAAAGCTTAGTTTTCACACATTGTTGCTGCTAGACCAGGTATAAAAGAGTATCACTTTTATACTTGTACTGTTATAACCTATGTGAAAAAACAAAGATTTTTTATACCTATTATGAGTTTAACCGGTCTAAAAAGTGACGTTTCTTTAAATATTTGCTTTGTATGTGCTACTATCCATATTCAGGCCTGTATAAAATTCAATCCCAAGATACAGTCTAAATAATCCCAGAATACTTTCTTGGTTTCTATATCCAAGAAAAGACAATGCTAAAGTAAAAAAATTGTACAAGAAAATATATAAGGATCCTATACTTGAATGAATAAATAAAATATCTATCTAGAATGGTAAAATATCTGAGTCTAAAGGCAGAGAAAGATGTTTACAACAACTACAATATCTTTTGTGGATAGAGAAAGATGTCAACTAGATATATGTTGCGCTATTCTTTTCAAAACAAGATGTCTAGCCCATTGCTAAGTTTCCCATAGTGTGAAATGTTATAGGACAAGAAGCTATCACCATGTCAATAGTTGTCAAAACAGCAACCTGCAACTGCTCCAATACTAGTAGTCTTGTTAAAGCAACAAAAGCAATTGCCCAAACCTGCAGTAATACGGAAAAAAAGAAATACAATTAATAGTTTTAAGAAATTAATTGAAAGATTCTACACTTAACTCATTAAAATAATAGAAATTTACTATATGTCAATTTTTGTATGAGTCTATACATCAGTTTATAATTTTACAAAACTTCTTTCTTTATTGATATATTAACTCGCCAAATAAGTCTATATATAAGTTGATTTTTATTTGCGATGAAGACTTTTTTTTCTTATTTTCTTTTCTTGAGAATTTTTATCTAAAACTTTATGAAAAGGAATTCAACTAATTAATAACAATTGAATCCAAATCAGCAACAAGATTATACTAAAATCACAAGGTACATTCACACGTTCATACATCCAAATGTAATTAATTTTGCAGCAATCTAGTTAATACTTTTAATATAATATACTAATAATCCCAGAGGAAAAAGTTTATTACAAACTATCAAATAATTTTCTACAACATTTGAATCAAAATAGCAACAATTTTCAGCATATTTTTATTATGAAACAACAATAGTTTATGCAGAATTCTGAGAGATGAATAAAATAGAATTAAGGGGAAAAGCAGAAGTTGTACAAATATAATATTTTACAATATACAAACCTGGTAAAATGCATTGAAGCACAAACTTATCCATTGAGTCCAATTCCAAATCTAGAGCAACATCATAATCCTTGACCTGAGATCATAAATGAAGTTGCTGAGTGACAAATGTGAATCAATATTTCTCCCAAAAAGTTAAGAGTTAAACCTTACCACCTCTTTGTATTCTTCAAGAGCATGGTAGCATGAAGCTCGCAAATATAAACACTCAACATTGGGGCCATCAACGCTCAAACCCATTGACAAATCATTGATCGCCTTCCTGTCACAATCAAACCCAATTTAAGTCAGAAACAAGATAAATTATATGATGGCACTTGTAGGGTCATAATTTAATTGATGGCATGCTTTTAGGTTATACAAACATGGTCTTCTTACCAATAGAGAGGGGAGAAAAAAAGATCAATATTGTCTTTTAATGTCTTTTAGATAAAGATTTTATGTACTTTTGAGTAGTTTAGTTCTTCCTATCAGATTTCATCATATTTCCAACTTCTACCACCATATTTTCTTCAATAACTACCTATAGGTGTGCCACTATATCTCAAAGTGTGTTACTTTAATTCATGGCCCCAATCATAATACTATTGAAGGCTTGCAAGGTATAGTTATCTCAATTAAATAGTCAATCTCCAATTAAACAGCAGTTAAGGTTGTTTACATACCTATGTTGTCCCATAGCATGGAACAAAACGTCACGCAAATTATGAGCTCTGGAAAACCTAACATACAACACAAGTAATCAGCTGCTGATAAAGAGCAAACATGCATAAAGTACTTCAAACTTTATAAACCAATTACCAGCTAAAATGCTTGTGATGCCAATGATACCATTTCATTAACAACAATTACCTTCCATCAATTTGCAACATCTGACTTAGACATTCTTGAGCTTTTGTTGGCTTTGATATATCTTGATAGAACTGCCAAAAACCTCATGTTCAGAATAAATCTAGCAGCCAAAATAATTTAAAATACATAAAATGAAAGGCCAAAATCTNTAATATCTACTCTTAATATAGAGTTGAATTAGTGTTTTAGTATGTGACATGATATTTTTCTATTAAGATTTTGAAGTGAAAACAATTTAGCTATGAAATTAGTAAAATTACGAATGGGTTAATGTAAAATTTTTAGTATAATTTAAAAAATAAATAAATTATCATAAAATATTTCATGTAATGTTATTTTTTTTATAAATATTCAAGACTGTAAGCAAAGTTGATAACTTGCATTACGAATTTTTATTCAAAAACAAATCTAAAAGGCATAAATAGTTTTCCTTCTGATCCCTGCTTTTGGTAATTATATTTTTTTTTTTTGTATTTTCGTATAGAAACTATTGGTAGATTATAGATTACTTATGTTTGAAGTTATTACTTATTTTGTGTATTGCGAAAGTGACAAACCAACATATCAAATTAATAATTATCAATGTTACTAACTGCTTCTATTATTAAAAATATTGTTTAAGCTTGATTCTAATTAATTATAGTTGTATTTTTTAAAATGGTCACAAATTTTAAATGTTGGTTCGTACTTCTTTTTTTCACCACAGGTCTTAATTAAAAAATACAATCTTCATTAAACTATTATAATATATAACAGATTTGACAATATATTTATTGTGGATATTATTATTTGAATCAAGCTTAAATTAAGGCAAATCAAAAAAATTTACAATAATACTTTTCTTAATTTGTTTAGATTTTCGTATTGTTGAGATGTTTCTCAATATAAACTGAAATTAGATGATGATACTTTTATTTTTTATTTTTACAGTTGAAAGCTAATAGCTCAAACTAAAAACTTAAATAAGGTGAATATGAAAGAGAACACATATTTATTTTTCTGATTGATTTTACTTATTATTTTCAATTTTTATATTGTATTATTTTAATTTTTCTTCATGAATTTCATCACAAGTTCAATAAAAAAATGTATGAACATTTTTCTTAGTTTGTTTTACTTTTATGATATTTAATTATTTTAATATGATGTAAATACTCTTAAGGAAATATTTATTTTAACTAGCTGCTGGTGTTATTTGATTCCAACATGAATAAAGTTCATTAGATTTTATTTTTACATTGTTTTTTTTGCTACTTTGAATATTTCAATTATATTATAACTTAAAATCCTCATTGCCACGCATTCAAAAGTATTTTATTTTATTTCAATTTAAATAAGGTAGAAGATCAATAATATGTAATTAATAAATGATAAAAGCAAGGTCTTCGTTTCAATATTGTTAATTGAAAAAAAAAGGTTATATTATTTAGTGTTTTCTCTCTCAATATTAACTATTTTATATTATTTTTATTAATATGTTATTCGACATGCTCAATTAAATTTAAAAATACGTTTATTGTTTAAATTAGTTTATCTCAATTTTCTTAGCAGTAGTGGTGGTATTCTTGATAAATTTAAATATTTTCGATACAGTATTCTACTAAATTTTTGTAGGCCAGAGAGTAGTAGAAAATTTATATGCTTCAATTGGGTGACATAATTGTTATGATTATTAAAACAAAATACATGTGTATTTTATATGATGTTGTTAGTAAAAAAGTAAAGTATCAAAGTAAAAGTTATTTTTAGCACAACAATTTAAATGTAACACAAGATATCAATTTAAGGCAAGCTTATTAAACTCAATAATTAACTCGTTGGAGTTTATGTTTTTGAACTTTTTCGAGTTAACTTGAAAATAAATTCATTTGCTGAGTAAATTTGGTATAATCATAACTAAAATTGATGGATCATTTAGAATAACAATTTTGCAACGGTTTTGTGAGTTTGAAAGGAGAAAAACAATAAAAGATTATGTCGTTTTGAGTTTAAGGTTTAATGTCTTGGTTAGGGCTCCATCATTGTTCTTCGTTTTTATTGTGCTCCACTTCACCATTGTCTCTCACTATCGTGCGTCAAAGTAAAGCCTGAGTCATCTTTTGCTACTGTTTTTTTAGTGAAAAAACTTCAAGCATCATGTCTGGAAATGCATCAAATTCAATGGATATTAATCTAAGTGCATCTTCGTCTATTAAAATTAGAAGTAAAAGTACTATAGGAAATCAGTTTGATATTGGATGAAAAAATGGGTTTGATATTAATGGTAATGGAAAAAAAAGTTAAATGTAAGTATTACTCAAAGATTATGAGTGGAGTGATATTTAGATTTAAGCATCATCTTTCTAGAACCAGGGATGATTTTGAACCTTATGCTTCTATTTTAGATGAAATAAAAAAAAACATAAAAATAGTTGCAAAAGCTAAAGATGCTTCATTTTAGAAAAGAAAGTTAAATGTCATTAATGGATAAAGGAGGATCCAAGGTATTTAGTTTTAAAGAAAAACAAAAAGTTCCTAGAACTAGCAAGGGGAAGTCCAAGCAACCATAAATCAAATGATGGAAAATGATACAAAAAAGAAGTTAATGCTAAAGTCGCTCAACCCTTTTACACCAGTGTCATTCCTTTTAATGTAATTAGAAATCCAACATTTGCAAAGATGTGTGAAATGATTGGTAAATATGAAGTTGACTACAAACCACCGTCTTATCACGATATTATAGATAAGCTCTTGAAATAAGCTATGAACAAAACATATACAATCCTTGAGGAATATAAGGAGGAGTGGAAGAGAATTAGACGTATCATTAACTCTAATGGTTGGACAAATTAAAAAAAGACATTCTATTTGCAACTTCTTGATGAATAGTCATAAAGAGACAATTTTTCTTCATTCACTTAACACCTCAGACATTTAAAAAATAATTGAAAAGTATCCAGAGTGTTAGAGTTTGTTGGAGAAAACTTTCACAAATGAGATCAAACAAACTTTATAACTAATTCTTTCATATATATATATATATATATATATATATATATATATATATATATATGTTTTTTATCCTAACTTGAAGTAAAAATTAGAATTAGTTTTTTTATAATTTATTATCCAATTTAACAATTTTATAAATGTGTTTAAACTAATTTTTGTTAAATTTATTTGATGTTTCAAACTTGTTTTATAATATAATAGTATTAGAATTATTTACAGTATTTTATATATTTTTGTTTTAATACTAGTTAAGAAATACATATAAAAGATTATATAAATTTAACAAAATTTGATTAAATTAATTCTAAAAATAATAGATTACGTTGATCTAATTTTTTCTTAAAAAGACTAATTTTAATTTTTATTTAAAGTTAAGATATAAAAGTATATTTAATTCATATAAATATTGTAATGATTGAAGACAAAATTCATTTACTTCAATTTTTTTCCTTAAAAATAAAATATCTTTATTAAGAGACTGAAAAAAAATACGTATTCAAAGACCGAAATAGATAAATTTGACACTCAAAAAATAGAAAAAAAAATTTGATGTCACAAATAATTTTGTTGATTGCATTTTGTAAGACATGATTTTATAATAAACAAACAAACCATTTTAGATAGAAAAATGATTTATTTTGGAGAGATTTAGTAAATATTGAACACGTGACAAGGAAGAGTTTTTAAAATGATAGGAGTCTTTGCTGTAGTAAATTTATAAAAGTGCGTTGAATAAATATAAAATGTTAAAATGAACTCTTAACACGAGGTTAAAAACAAAAAGAACAAGACAATACACGCATATAATCCAATATTTGTTAACTGTATTCTTGGAACTTTAAAATATAATGAATTTGGTGAAAACATGACTTAAACATGAAATGATGTGGTGATTAAGAATATAATCAATAATTTACTTTCATCACTCAATTACATGTTTGAATGTTATTCGAAAACACTGTGATAGGAAAAATGTTAATTATTTTGTTTTATTAATGATCCAATTGAAGAAAAAAAGAAAAAAAAAAGGTTTTGGTGAGGGATGGAGGTGACGGTGACCATCACGATGACGGTGACCAGTAACGGTTACAAAATCCATATGGAGAGAGTGAACGTGTGTCTTTCACAGTTTGACCCGTTTGACCAGACTTGGATGAGAGAAATGAAGAAAAAATAAAATAAAAATTATTTATTTATTTTAATTTTTAAGAAATAAAATAATGAAGGTGGCGGTGGGTCCCAGAGCGAGTGGATGAACGTATATTCATTCATTCACGTTTGGCTTTCGCATTATTGCCAGCTTTCACTTCGTCCTTTTATTTTCTCGAAACCCACACCCAATTCATCTCTTCAACTTCATCGACCCTTTTTCTTCCTAATTATCAATATTCTTTATTTAATTTTTTATTTTATATTATTAAATAAAATAATAATAATTATACTGTATGATCGGACGGTCATAGTAATAGAAGCGAATGATTTCGTTTCTCTTAATCCACTAAACAAGATAAAATGAAGATGAAGTTCACTAAACCACGTATGAATGAAAGTCCACTAACAAAGTAATTCTCAAAAGATGCTAAGAATCGATATTAAAGATAAATATCAATCAGTATAATAATCAAAATTAGACCATGATTAAAATTTTACTAATTTTATATGATCGTATTTATTATAAATTTAAAACTTTGTTTTAACGTGTTCGAAAAGATTATTAACTTAAGTACCGAAATATTGCATCGAAACAACAATAAAATAAATAAAGAAAATCCGTAAAGCTTAACCTTTTTGTTTGTCTCTCTCCTACGCCACTTGCCTTATAAGTTCCAACCACGATCTTGCTTCTCCCATCTCATTCCCTTCTTTTATCCACAAGGCCACCACTCTTTGCTTCATAAAACCCTAATTTCTTATTTTGTTTTGCTCCATTCAATTTCAGCATGCCAAAAATGAATCGCCTTCGTGGGTCCATCTGCTTCCTAAATCAAGAAAATAAAACACAACCTTAAATCTGCATAAAATCTGTCTTGTGACCACTCTGCAAACGTAGCTCCAACGAGCTAATTACCCCCTTCAATTCAACAACACTAACTATTTATTCATTTTCTCAAGTTACTTTATTCACATTCTTCCAAAAAATTTCTTCACATGTTTTCCACAACATTAAAAAATCTACTTAAAATATATAAGTAAGACTATTTTACCTTACAAAAGTTAGATTTAAATTTATTTCTTCATACATTATGAAATCATATAATAAGAATTGCATTTAAGTTTGTTATATCACCTACTATTAAATCATACTTCTCATTCATATTTAAATTTCTTTATTATTCGTATAAGGCTAAGATTAATAATATTTTATGTTTTTTCTTCTTTACTTTATAAATGTATTTTAAAAACTTATGTATGATTAATTCATAAAAATTTCTCATGCAATTTAATAAGAATGATAAAATGATTCTTATTCTTAATGTAAAGTTAAGCTATGTTAGGATAGATGAAATTGTGTCTAGATATGTTGTAAAGTCAAACTAGAATGTCCTTAAAATTAATCTGATTACAACGTAATTGATTAAGTTTTATTGTGGCACTGAAACATATCTTTTTCAAATGCTTAATTGCCTAAACTATTATAATAAATTAGAAATATATATAATATAATCGATTANCCATTAAAAGGCATGAAAGACGAAACCTATTTTGTAGAGTTAAACTTAAACCTATAAGTTACTAAAGGAAAAATGCAAATGTAAACTAAGTTACTTGGCTGACATTAAATGGAAACTTTAATTCAAGTAGAATGAGTTAGTAGTATACGAGACAAAAATGTTATGAATGAAAGAAGTGAGGAAAGATACTATTAGAGAACATAGAGCATCCATTGATACAATAGATTACATTTCAAACCACAAAATAATATGCACACAAATGACTCAGGATGTTTAGAAAAAGCTTTCTGCTAAGTTAATAACTAAATGTTCCAACAATCTATTAGTACAATAAGGTTGATAGATACCTGAGTCAGGTGTGCCCATGCTTCAAGAAAATTTCTATCAATTTGAAGTGATTTTATATGTGCATCCTCAGCTTTCTTATATTCACCAATTGAAGATAATGCTAAACCCTGTAAAAGAAAGCATTAACTCAGAAAAATAATAAAGATATATTTTCATGTGACGTGAGAAACCCAACATAAAGGGCTCATAATCAATGAGGACTAAAATGTTAAGACTTGGGACCCACCAAATATGTGTAGGCAAACTTATTATCCATGTTTAATTGCACACAGGCTGAAAGGTCTTCAACGACAACATTAAACTCTTTAAATTTGACAAACTCAACAAGCAGATACCCGAAAATCAAAACAATCAAAACATAAAACAATCAACTTGAATCAATTCAAGACAAACAAATAGAAACACATATCACAAAGTATTTGAAATTAAGGTTTATCAGAATTTGAAACTTGAAATGAAAAACAAAATTGAAAATGACTTGGGAGATAATAAATTTACAGATATAAGAAAACACTTATGAAAAGGTAAATCTATGAGGAGGAGAAGATGACTTACATAGGAGAAAGGCTTCTGTGAATAGAAAATGCTCTGAAGGAGAAGAAAAGATGATGCGGATGAGAAGCGAAGATGGCTTCGTAGCAACTCTGTAAATGAAAAACCTATCCTTTCTCGTCACCAATCACTCTTTCTCGAGCTTTTCAAACTTCTCCCTTAGAATGATAGGGAGGTTGTCGAAGATAATGATGTTACCAAATCCAGACTCGAACTCGAGATTATCCTCTTCGTAAACTTCTTCATCATCACTAAACAATGCAAGAAAAAAAAAAGAGCGTGAGAACATCGCTTCCTAGGGTTTCAGTTCAGTGGCCAGAACAAAATAAATTAAAAATCACAAAATAGACACCTAACAATTCTGCAAGTTTCGTTGGGAGGAAGACAAATGGAGTCGAGATCAAGAATGGAGAGATTGACACCGAGAAGCAGTGTAGTGTCTTCGATCTCCTTCATTACCATGACATCCACCATGATTATGGCCTCAGCGTTTTCAGAGGCGAGTATGAAGAACAGAAGTTTGGTTTCTAGGGTTCAACACATGTGCGTTTTCAGCTCTAAATTAAATTAGAACTAATTTTTATTTTTACAGCGGTTATAGTGTTTAACAAGTATAAAAGAAGTTTTTCAATTTTATATTGTTATTATTATATTATTTTTATACCGGTTCTAGGTTTAACAGATGTAGAATTATTTTTTATACCAGTTTAGGATGTAACTGGTATAAAAAAGTTTCTCTTATTTACGATACTGTCATCGCACCATTTTTTAAATCTGTTGGATTTCAACCGGTATAAAAATTAGCTATAAAAAGTATATTTTGCATTAGTGAATGTCTCCACATGCCTGAAAGTTGTTGCCCCTCTTATGGTGGTTTTGATATTGGTGGACTTAGATTTAAAACCCACAATGTGTTCCATTTATAAAGAGATGAATTGTGCATAAGAGAATATTAGGTTCAACATTAACAATATTAAGATGAGGTAAAATTTCAAACTTTTACTCATTCAAAGTTTAATTATTTATGTGTGAAATTATTTGTAATATAGCATAATTGGTTTGATCATTATATGTAGTTATGAAGAGGTTTAGAGAATAATTGATGCTCCATGGGATAATCAACTTCATAGGCCTTTATATGCAACTGCCTATTTTATAAACCTCCATTTTCACTGTGAACATAACTTTAAATATGATGATGATGGAGAGGTGAAAGAATGATTGTATTTGTGCATGAGAAGATTGGTACCAAATATGGTAGAAAAAGAAAAATTAATTTGCAAATTGTTGAATTTCATTTTGCTATAAGACTTTTTGGAATGGAAGATGCAAAAGAATGCAATAAAGAATTAAATCACAGGGAATGGTGGGAGATGTTTGGGGATGGAACTTTAGAGTTGAAGATATTTGATATTTGAATTCTAAGTTTGACTTTTAATTCTTCATGATGTGAGTGCAATAGAAGTTCATTTGAAATGGTAATTTAAATTATTTTTAATTTATAGTTTTCTTTATTATGTTTAAATATTTACTAAAAATTTGATATTTCATTTTAGGTTCATACAAATAGAAGAAATCGTTTGTATAAGAAAAAGATGAATGATTTAGTTTATGTGATGTATAACTTGAAGCTGAAAAATAGATAAATTCGAAAAACGGTTATTCTTCCATTTGATGACATTGAATTAGATGATGAATGAATAATTAAAGAGGCAGATGATGTTGGTGAGATTGAGTAAGTTGAAAGTGAAAATGATGGTGAAAATGTTCACTTGGATGGAGTAACAACCGATCCTGCTCTAGATGTTTTTTATCTTGATAACATAACATTTTAAGATAATGAGGATGAACAACATTCATCAGGAAAAGAGTTGGATGAAGATGATGATAGAAATGATGATGCCATTATTAGAGGATTAGACACAAACTTTGACATTTCAATTTATGTTTTACAATATTTTTATAAACTTATTTATTTCAATTTATATAATTTTATGGACTTGTTTGAATTATGATGTTATTCATATAATTTATTTTTATGTAAACGAGTTTACAAGTCAAATTCAGTCAACTATCATATGTTTACGTATAAACTTTCACTTTTGACTTTTGAAAAGTTCTTAAACATTTAACAAAAATAAAGCGAATTAGTAACATTAATCTCACGTATGTGTATAAATAGATTGTCATTTGCAAAATCAAGTAACAAACAACAAAATATACTTTAACATGTCTAAATGTTAGACCATCAAATAAAAAACAATTGAAAGTTAACCTGATTTATCAATTACCTTAAAAAAGAATTAAACTTTACATTTTTTATAGAGAGATATTCATTTTATTTTATAATACTTTTCTTAATCAATAGTAATAATTATACAACATACGTGAAAGAAAAAAAAAACTTAATGTAAAAGAATACTTATTATTTCAACAATAAATAAAAGGATAATAATCCGTCACTTTGTCTATTTATGTAAATAGAATGTTTTTTATAGTATTTAATTTATACTATTTTTCTCTTATCCAATGTAATAATTAATTTATTTGATCTCATTTGGGATAGTTTTGTCACTTCTATTTTGACTATCTTACATATATATAAAAATAATTATATGTTTTTTATCCTTTAATTTGAAGTAAAAATTAGAATTAGTTTTTTTATAATTTATTATCCAATTTAGTATCACATTTTTATAAATGTGTTTAAACTAAATTTTGTTAAGTTTATTTAATGTTTTAAACTTGTTTTATAATATAATAGTATTAGAATTATTTACAGTGTTGTATATATTTTGTTTCAATACTAGTTAAGAAATACATATAAAAAATTATATAAATTTAACAAAATTTGATTAATTAATTCTAAAAATAATAGATTACGTTGATCTAATTTTTTCTTAAAAAGACTAATTTTAATTTTTATTTAAAGTTAAGATATCAAAAGTATATTTAATTCATATAAATATTGTAATGATTGAAGAAAAAATTCATTTACTTCAATTTTTTTCCTTAAAAATAAAATTTCTTTATTAAGAGAGTGAAAAAAATACGTATTCAAAGACCGAAATAGATAAATTTGACACTCAAAAATAGAAAAAAAAAATTGATGTCACAAATAATTTTGTTGATTGCATTTTGTAAGACATGATTTTATAATAAACAAACAAACCATTTTAGATAGAAAAATGATTTATTTT